CGTATGGCTCCAGTAACGCATGGATTGTCGGTTCCATATGCCGTTTCGAGTAAACGTGCTTTCATCTGTCCAAAACACATTTGTTAGGAAACGTTGGTCTTGAGACATTTTTTCCAGTACCCAGTGGCAGTAAGATTCTCTAATCGGCTTATCGCGGGGCAGCAGCGCCTGCACCTTAACATATTTATAAGGACGTAGTTTGTTCCTTTTCAGCACTCGGTGTATTGTTTTATGCCTCACTCTAAACACACGCCCAGCTTGTCTAAGGCTGCAGGTTGGATTCCGATCGAAATGGTCTAAGACTCGTTGTTCGAACGAGGGTGGAAAGTGACGCGGAGCAACTCCTTCATGAGTGTTGGGCACTATGCGCTGATTTTCCCTGATTCTTTGGACAGCACCTAGGATTGTCCGGACGCTAGTAGGGCAGACGCGAGTTGCGCCGTATCTCTCACTATAAGTACGCAGAGTTAACGCTGAATTTTGGTGGCATTCGCCATACAATAAAACCATGTCTGTATACTCTGCCGCACTGTAAAAATGCTGTTGTCTTGGCATTTTCCGCCGCCAAAACGTATACACAAAAGTCAAGTAGTGTCAATATCACAGTGAAAAAATAATAAAAATAAACGTACTTAAAAACACTATTTACACACACAAAGTCAATTAACTAATAAGTGTCTATTTCACCGTAAAAGAATTGTTCGACTAATTGTATTTATCTTACGATAATACGATAATTATCTTACGATAAATAATTGCGATGCGTGTAGGCAGCGAAACACACCTGTATTCTGGGAGAATTGCGCGTGAACTGGAAGCCGAATTTCCAAATTCCAAAATGGCGAAAATAATAAAAGTAAAAATAGGGCGGCCACAAGGTGCAATTATCGTTTATCGATACTTTTCTTTTTACACTTACTTACCTACTACATTTGAATACAAGTAATTTTGATTTTTGATTTGATAACAATCGACAAGTTATTGATTGTTAAAAAAAAAGTTTATTTTTATACAATTGAACTTACGAAACTACCGATTTGTAACTTCCTGGGAAACGGGTAAGTATGTATGACTTTTTAATTGGTTGTTTTTATGGGTTTTTTAGCATGTTAAAATAATTTATTATCTCTAAATCTACAAGAACACACTTAAACAAAAAAGCTTTAAAGTTTAGCTTTAAATACTTAGGTCGTAGTGTTTTTAGAATTATCATAACAACACGATTATTCTAAAAAAAACCATACCCTAAGTGTTTAAAGCTAAACATTTTTTTGTTTATCGATTATTACTCCCTTTGAAAGAAGCTAATCGTCGATAACTGGTGTCCTACTTTACGACAAAGGCGCGCGCGCACTTGCGCTGTCGCCTTTGAAGTACGCCGCGTGCCTCGTGCCGCTTGTTTATGGACGTCGACAAAAGACACCGCTGTCGATATGTCGCAATACCAATAGTTTGCACTGCGTGGCAACGTCGCTTTTTAATGTTCAAGGATTCAAGTTCATTGAATCATTGACTTAGTGACCCAATTCTATAGAGAGTTCAAATTTGCTTAAAATTAAAACTCTACTTTTTGACCTAATTACTGGACCGATTACGTTCATTTTTTGTATATCGTCAGCAAAGGCGATAACAAGTATATGGTTTCATTTATTGCATATATGTGGGACCCCATTCTGTATATATATATATATATATATACATTATTGTACATTAATGTTCCTTTTTCCTTTTTTTGTTAATAATTCTGTTTTTTTTTTGGCGTGCAATAAACCGTTATCTATCTATCCGTATCCCCGTTTTTTATTTCACCAGCAAAGCATGTACATAATAAGAAATATGAAATATAAACAGGTAACATAACTATTTACCTATTTATAAGTATTTGATTAATATTGTGTTAACAAATGAGCTGTAAACAGTTGAGTATACAAAAGGAAAATATTTAGCTAATACAATTCTATCTGAATTAAAATTTTTGGAAGTAGATTGCGAATATTTAGTTGGACAAGGATATGATGGAGCTTCTTTGATTAAAGGAAGTTTTAAAGGTGTGCAGCCACTAAAATCGGTTGAAAATTTTATCAAGTCCTCGGCAAAAAGAACCAAGCGTTTAAAAGATAATATCGAAAAATACTTCCCTGAAAAACCTTACGGCAATGTGCGAGATCCGCTGGGTAGAAAATCATGATGGGTTGTTAAGATTTAAAGAAATTTATAAGGCTATTGTTGATACACTAGATGACTTAAGCACTGACATGGATTCTGAAACATCGTAAAAGGCTAATTCTTTTCTGGGATCAGTAGTTTCAAGTAATTTTGTTATAAGCTTATGTTGCTTAGGAACGTTGTTTCCGTACATACTGACACTATGCAAACTTCAATCTCCCTTATGCGATTTGGCAGCAGCTTTATAATATGTCGATTTAATTACCACCGCAGAATTGACATCGACCCCGAGGAGGTAATTGATATGTTCGCTGCAAAGAAAGTTAGAAGACTAAATTCAATTTTGTAATGAGGAGTTAATATTTCCGTAATGGTTTTCTAATAAATATATATCATAAGTAACTTTAATTTCCTTTATTAAAACGATTTTATGTTTTTCTACTGTTCCACCAAATCTGACCGCCCCTTCACCGAAATTATTTTCTGGCCACGGCCTTGATAGAATTTGAGTACGCACGTCGGCTCGCAGCGAATCGTTGTCAGTCAGCTTTTGGTTGCATAATGAGAAGTGCCGCAGTGGTGGTCTGCTGACAGCTGTGTTTCGAGATATGGCGGATACTGGCTGGCCGACTTGCGACTTGTCACCACGCGTTCATGATCCCGCAATGCATAAAAATGGAACGCTTAGTCCGTACAAGGCTTTAAAACAAAATTCTACGAGCTTCCGGAGCCTGTGTACGTCCGCAATCACATTTGCTGTAAGCGTCTCCGTCACTTTAAATACCCCACTTTCTCCATGATTTGGGTATTAAGACATCGGAAAGGATTAAATCATTTATTTTTGTGTCTATCGATCGCACAACGGTGACCAGGAGACCATTGGGGTATTTGAACACCTCAGTGAGGCCTTTTTTTTTTTGCGGATGGAAAATCATCTAATGACGCCTTTCGCTCTGGGTGGAGCGTAAGGGAGTGTCAGACTTTTACTGACTAAAAACCATCCGTGTTCCTTCAGTGCCCTTACGTTCCGGAGCCGCGGTATCTCTTTCGAACAGCCCGCAGCCCCGGCAGGCGTTGGCCCTTACGGGCCCCTTCACGCTGCTGACAGCTCTTTGAGGCGCGCGTGGAACAAAACGCGCCGTCGACACGGCCTGTCGTCGTTAGACGGACGGACGGCGAGCTACCCATTGCTCGCCGTCCACAGGCCCGCGCCTACGGTGGCCGGGGGCCACGACGTAACCCCCGACGCCCGGGGCGTCTCCCGCGGCGGCCGGGGAGGAAAGCGGCTGCGCTCTCCTTCTCCCGCTCCGCCACCTCCTTCGCTAGCATCACTGCTTCGCAGAAGGTGGTGACGGCATCCCATTCCGTCTCGCTCCGGACTATGGCTTCGACCAGGGCCGGACGCGAGAGGTCGCCGCCGCCTATCGCCGCTACGAGGACACGGCGGTGCTCCGCCCAAGCAGGGCACACCTCCACGGTGTGTTCCACCGTGTCCTCCGGTCCATCCTCGCAGTGGGAGCACCCGGGCGTTTCCTCCCGCCCGATTCGGTGCAGGAACCTCCCGAACACACCGTGTCCGGTGAGGACCTGCGTCAGGCGGAAGGTGAGGATGCCGTGGCGTCTCTCAAGCCACTCCTCGAAGAGGGGTCTTATCGCCGCTATAGTGGCGTGCCCAGCACGGGGTTGCGACAGTCGCTCTCTCCATGTCGCCATGAGATCGTGCCGGAAGTCTATCCGCTGCGCGACAACTTGCCGCGGCAGCGGGTTTCCCCCTCGGCATAGTGCCTCCGCGCGCCATTCGTGCAGGCGTGCGAGGACTACCGCCTCCAGATCCCATGGCGGCAATCCGGCAAGGAGGCTCACCGCCTCGCGGGAGATCGTGCGGTAGCCGCGAACCATTTTCACGGCGACCTCAGTGAGGCCTGTGTTTTGACCTTAAATCGGTACCCTTCTGCACAGGGATTATATTATTATGGCGAACTTTATTGCCTGTCGTCAGGACTGGCTGTTTTCATACCAGAAGACCGACCTTGCTGGGAGAGAAGCGTGGAATTTTGCCTTGTCACTGGTTTGGTTGGTTGGTTTTTGTTCATAATCTTGAAATAAGAACATAATAAATGGTTTTATATAATCATCATAAATATTTTAATTTTTGGTAACCATGAATATATTATTTTATGAGGTAACTCATCCGCGATATATTTGTTTACTTAAATACCTATATTCTGTTTCATATAAATAATTACATCCTGTAAGCGGATCGTAACAGTCGATGTAAGTTCGGTTCTAAGATTATGATCGTTAGAGCGAGGCCCCATTAGTGCGTTGCGCTGCGTTGCGTCGCGTCATCGCAACGGAACAACGCATTGTATGCCACACCTGTGTTGCGTTGACGCTGCGCCAACGCAACGCAAGAGGGTATGCACGCCGACGCAGCTGCGTCTCAGTTCAGCCTTTGCAATGGATAGATACAAACGTGTTCTTTTGTTGCTTTTATTACGGCACCGCCGAAATAAACGTAGAAATCATAGAAGATTCTGGATATCTCCTTTGATAGCATTAAGAAATGGTGATGGTCAGTTTTTTATGCAGGAATATAGGGAGTTGTTATTAGATGAAAAGACTTTTTTCAATTTTTTTTTGAAAGAGTGTGGCCAGCTTTAATAATTTGGTTGAAACCTTAAAACCACATATAAAAAAGCAGTATACCAAATTCAGGAACCCTTTAGAACCAATTGAAATGATTGGTATTACATTGAGGTAAGTAATTCAAATATCATAATACTCGTAATGTTAATCAGTTATTAATTTATTATCTTTAAAAACAGTTTAATTTAAGTATTACTATTAGGCAACAAAGCAAAGTTATAATCTTCTTCTTGACTATCATCAGTAAAATTATTAATCGTAGTGTTGGTTGAGTAGGTAGCTTCGAATTCATCTGTTCGATACGACGATGGCGATGGTGACTGGGCATGTTGTCCAGTTTGATATCCGCGTGACTGCAATGGTGTTGCTTGATACTGTTGTCCAGTTTGATATCCGTGCGACTGCCATGTTGTTGATTGAGTCTGTTCCCCGAACCGAATTTCGGTAATGATATTTATAACTTTGCTTTGGAATGTCAAAGTTTGTAATTCCGTAAAGCTGTCCAAAGAAGGCAAAATTCCTTTGAAAAATGATAAGTGGCGGTTTTCTTTCTCTTGCAACGCTTCTAATGCTTGCGCCTCGAAATCATCTATTGCTTGGTTTGATCTCTTACGGCTTGCAGGCACGTAGCGAGAAGGACCTGGGGGTAACGAGGACATTTCTTTTGTAGGAAATGGAGAAGATGATGCTGTGTTTTCATTTCGTTCCGTTTCTTCAGACACCATTTCAAGGCTACTGTCAGTTTTATTTTGGGCAACTTTCATCAAAAACAGCAACCGATTGTAATAATGATATTTTTTCAATTGTTTTGCCCCTGATCCAGACGAACTGTTTTCTTTTATTTTTTTTACTTATCGAAAAAAGTTGTCCTTCACGGTTCTCCATTTTTTCACAACCTGTTCCTGCAAAGAAAGAAAAAAATGTGTAAGTACCTAACTTGTCTACACTGACCAATCTAAATGGGCCACCCTGTTTATTTTTTGTGTTTCTATTTCAGGTACTTAGGCAGCGGAAATTCGACAAACGACTTGCATTTCAAATTTAAACGTGGAAGAGCAACAATTTCTAGAACTATTTCATCAGTTTGTCAAGCTATATGGAAATATGTTCGACCACAGTACATAGAAGAGATCACAGTAGAAAAACTACAAAATATTGCATTAGATTTTGATCTCAAAGCTAACTTTCCTCATTGCTTCGAGGCAATTGATGGGAAACATATACGTTTAATAAAACCAGACAAAAGTGGCTCTCTGTTTTATAATTATAAAAATTATTTTTCAATTGTTTTGCTGGCGGTTGTTGACTCAAATTATAAGTTTGTTTTTGTCGACGTGGGTGCATATGGTAAGGAAAGTGATTCTACTATTTTTAGAAATTCGACACTGTACAAGATTTTAATGAGAAATGAATTACCATTGCCTGATCCTCAACCACTTGGAAATGATCATAATAACGAGCCACCAATCCCTTATGTACTCGTCGGTGATGAAGCTTTTGGTTTAAGTAAGCATGTTATGCGCCCATACGGCGGATCCAATCTCAATGTGAAACAAAGAGTTTATAATTATCGCCTTAGCAGAGCTCGTAGATACGTGGGATGTGCATTTGGGATCATGGCAAATAAATGGCGCATTTTACATAGGCCAATTGATACGTCATATGATTTAACTATTAATATTGCGAAAGCATGTTGTGTTTTACACAATTTTGTTATACAACACGATGGGTTAAAACAACAAGGCAATATGGCAATAAGTAGGTTCCCACAATTGAGACCCCATAGCAATGAAGAATCATTAGCCGAAAATTTTATCAGAGATCAATTTGCTAATTACTTTATGAGTCCAGAAGGGGCTTTACCATGGCAGTTGAAAAAGATATAAATTAACTTATGTATTGAATTTACAAATAATATAATAAATAACAACTCACCAATCTTGTTCTTTTTTTGATCCTCAAACTCCTCGTAATCTTGAAATATTTTTTTACAAACAGCTACCCATTCATTCGCTTTACGAAATTTATCACTGTAATGTTCGTGTGATTTATCCCATATAATGGGTCTTTCTTGGACCAAGGATATGAGAAAATCTATATCAATATCCTGCTCACTCATGGTAAGATAAAAAATGTCGTTACGCTCGTCTAGCTTCCTCCTCTAGCAGTGCATCACTGTCCGTCGTCGCAGCGGAGCTCCGACAACGCAGCGCATCACCCTCCCTCCCGCTTCGTCTCTTGTCCGTCGATCCGTTGAAACGTCGCGCGCGACGACGCAACGGTCTAATGGGGCATGTCATAAAAAATGTATGGAAAACGACGCAGCGACGACGCAACGCAGCGCAACGCACTAATGGGGCCTCGCTCTTAGGTTCTATAATCTGAGGATTATTATGTGTATTTCTTTTAATTTACTATAAATACCTATAATATATAATAAATATAAATATAATACTTATAATTATAATAGCAGCATAATGCTCCTTTGTGTGTTTCGTATGGTACGCAGTACTATTATTTATTCTGTGCGTATGGTGAGTGACCTGGAGCGGAGATCCTTTTTACTGGTAATGAGACGTTCCATCTTGCCTTGCCAGGATGACAGCAAATTTTCATTTTGATTCTTAATAAGCGTCAGATGTGTCTACTCATGTGCTCGTTTGTGTGCTCTTTTTCTTTAAAAATGTACATAATTATTAAATGATAATAATAATAATATTTATTTTCATACATATCAGTTAACAATATGTCTATATATTATTATTAAATATATATGCGTTGATGAAAAAACTTTAAACCGTGCCTTATTGCTACATCAATTTACAGATATGGAATTTAAAAGGATAATCCAGTCTCTTTATGAAAAAATAGACACAAAGTTCTTCGAACAGTTCAAATTTCATATCCGAGATACGAACTTTTGCAAAATCACCAATTATATGCACGAACCAAAAAATGCTGCTAGCTTGGCGATCACCAGGATTTTATTCGGTATGTGAACTTAACTTTAGTAGAGATCATCTAATTTCTCATTATTCGTGATCATCATCAAATGTTATGGATATAATTTACAAGCTACCATTAGTGAAATCATTAGTGTCTAACTGAAATATTTCCATCAATTACTACTTTACGCAAGCATACCAAATGTCTAGCTACATTTACAAACATTAAAGAACATCGTCATAGCAATGATTTAAGGAACGTCCGATATTAATCTGATAATATCCCGAACATCACATTATGAACTGGAAGAACTTATTGTTTAGTTGGTTTTCTACATACGTGGTAGAGCCACGCTCCGGCTATATTATGGCTGTAACACGAATGGGGCGGCTCGACCGTTATTGAAAGGTGCGAGACGTTTGGAGCTACGATCGCCACTTCGCTTGCCAAAGGTGGCAACAACTTTAGGCAACAACTCTCCACAACGGGAAAGCATATGCAGCAGTGGATTTTCACGGGGCGAGATAGTCAACACAATTACACAACTACTTTCACTTTTTTCCGTTTCTTTAATTTTGATTATAATTTTTTAAGTGGTACTTTCAACAAACTCATAGTTAAGGGCGAAGATAATGAGTGTTTCTTAAGGAAGGATCCATAAAAAATTTTATTTATCACATGTGGTAGAGCCATGCTACAGCTATGCTATGTTTGTAGCACGAAATACCTGCGTAAAAAAGCAGCTTAATGCTGATGTGTTTCGTATGGTGAGTGTAGTGTAGAGAACCAGAGGCCTTTTTTTACTCCAACAGAACGAACGAGGTATTCCATCTAAGTCCACAGGGGTGACAATGCAGCTGCATTTTGCTTCTTAATCGTGGATGTGTGTATATATCTATGGAGCACAGCATCCACTTACCAACAGGTGGACTGTGTGCTCGTTTGTCAACCTTATTATATATAAACACACTTTTTAACAAAAAAATTAAACCGCCGAAAAAACTGAAAAGCAAAAAATAATTAACTTTTTTTCTTTTACCTCAATAACTAAGTTCTTATACTAATGTAAGTGTATCTAAGTATATATTTTTGTAATTATTTTGTGTTTTTAATTAACCTTAATAACTAAGTTCCTTAAACTAATGTAAGTATACCTAAGTAATTTTGAGTCGGCTCCATAAACGAAAATTAATTAATGACGTAAAGCGTGATGAACGGCACGACGCTCCCCTTCGCCGAAAAATGCCAAGCTTTCACGCAGTTAATTTCAGGGAGACAGCAACCCGAACGGGTACACACGTGCGGGCACACGTCTTTAACGAGCGGTCGTGCGGAGAGCGTATTTTTTGAAATGTCAATGTTTATCGCTGAAGATTCCATGTTGCATTGTTAATTTGATTTGGATATTTCTTTGAATTTAAGGTAATTTAGTGATCTTTGTTCATTGATTGCTTGAATTTTGAGGTCTATATAAAATCGGACTATTCTTTGAAAAAGCACCCCTGTTTTCCCACCCTTAGGGTAATTTTTTTCCAAAGTTATAATGGACCAATTTCGAGGTATACCCTACCCATTCAAAAAAGGATTATCAAAATCGGACTACTCAGTAAAAAGTTATGCGTGGCCAATGGCCATACATTAAAAAAAATTATACGCGTCGACTTGAGTACCTCCTCCGTTTTTTGTCAGTTGAAAAGGAAGGACCAGTTTTATTTCATACATACTAAATTATTCTTCTCTCGCGTCCTCTTTCTCCCTGTCGCCAGTCATGTCGATTTTGAGAAACTCGTTTAATAAAAAGAACCCCACTTGACCAATCTAATTGGTGAGTTGTCCTAAGGCGGATTTGAATCTAAGACGTTTTAATTTCGTAGTCTATATCAGGCCGGTTACACACTTTAAGTATTTTCCGTCAGAAAATCTTTAACGCGCGCCGTAAGGTATTTTGCTCAAAGTACATTCTGTACAAGACCTCGCCGACTGTAAGAAATTCCCCGGACTGACAATCCACTTTTGAGTTAGTAATTCTAACGCTGGATGTTACAAACTGGACGCCAGAGTCTTGTCAGAAGTCGGTAAGTGCACTGTCAAGACATTTTGTACAAGACAGCGTACGCAGAAATTTCATTACTCGAACCGACAAAGAAAAAAAGACTTGCGCTATGTACTTATATTTCAAGCGATTAAAAATAAAGCCAAAATGATCATGCTTAACTTATTGTAAGAACATACACTTATGCATCTAAAATCATTTGCTTGGTAACCTGGTACAAGTCACATGTACGATCTTTTATCGGCTGTTAGAGAAAAAAAGAGACAGATGTGTGCGTGAGCGAGAAGTTCAGCAAGTCTTTTGCGACACTTGAAATTTATGCCGCAAGTTCGTCTTTTTACGACGCATACAGAGGTGTGGAATATATTTAACTGTTTGTCTATCTGTGACATCGTAGCTCCCCAACCGATAAACCGGTTTAGTTTTAGTTATTTTTTTGTTTAAAAAGTGAGTTGATCGGGAATGTTATTAGCTATAATTTAAAAAAAATCAGCCGTTTGAAGATCATCACCATTTTGTTTTGGGAGTTTTCAAAATTAAAATTTTAGTTATTTTTGGTCAGAGCTACGAATGTGAAAAAATATCAATGTTCATGAAATATATAAATAGGATTGCCCAAACAAATTTTCTGACTGTGTGCAGGGTTAAAAAGTTTCCGACAAAAAAATTACAATATCCTGCCGGCCTTAACCGTTAAGCTGCTGTCAATTAAAAGTTTTGGAGATTTGTGTCCAACGGTAGGACCTTTTTTTACTTGAACTGTTAGTGGGTTCAAATATTAAATTCGTAAGAATTTATATGTTAGATATTTTTATTTTGCAGGAAGGAGACTGATACGCTTTCAAACATTCTTGGGCCCAGATTATAAAAAGATGAAAGTGGTGTCAATCAATAGTTTATATATTATCAAAACATCACTGAAAATTCGGCGGATTATGGCAAACTGAGAGCAAAGTTATACGAAATTTAGTAAAAGTGAGGTTATACAACAAGTTAGCATCAACCTAAACTAAACAGCTGGTTTTTGAAGTAAAATTGCTATTTTTTTTATTAGACAGTTGCTTACTATATTAATTGTAGTATTTATTGTACTGAGTGGGTGGATAGGAAACTCACAAATAGATTAAAAGAGAGCGAAGGTTAGGTGATGTTTAAAAAACACTTTCTTCTTCAATTATAATTACAATTCACACAGCGATCCATTGTGTCAATCTCCAATCGATAAAACCCAGGTCGTAAAATCCACAATACCAAGCCAAAGTCAAACGGGTAAACGTGATTATTGGTGTCCGGTATGATAGCAAGGGTCGCACAAGTTAAATAAGATCAGAAGTTCGTAGAAAAAAACAGTGGTTGAGGAATATAAATCGATAAAACAACGGGAAACACAGAAACCACTCAAAACGCACACGTACTAAAACGATCAGCACAGATTAAAAATACGTTGGCAAACAAGTAATAAATCGAACTGTAAACGAGAATCGATTTTGAGATTTATTTTTATTACGTCTATATTTTATTTTTTAAACTGTTTACACTGTGTTAATTGTAATTTATATAATAACTATGATTGAATCAATTATCTGCTGTACGTTGTTTTAAGGTTTAATTTTTAAAACTCATTCACACTAATCGACTGAAGTAATCGATTTCTTATTTTATTCGTGACATAAACTTATTTTCAAGATTTCTCGTCTTCCAGATTGTGAATTGGGCTAATTTTTTTATATTTTGAAATAGAAAAATATAACGGGTTCTTTAAACCATATTTCAACTTAAGTATTACAAATTGGGCCCAGAAATCCCCGTCTCTTTTCTTATATTTAAATATGTGAAATATAATAGGTTGAAATTAATTGACTAACTGCTAGACTGGCCTTAGTGGCCAGGCGTCGTAGTCTGTTTCTCCTAAGAATGCCGGAGAGACATTTATTATCGACGGTAGTATATGTTTTCTAGTGTAAAGTAGCGGAAGAGGCAATACACACGATCTTATCTAATTAATAATTTATTTAAAGGATTATTAGAGTATAAATGAATATATGGTCGATAATAATTCGTTTATTGTTACCGTTATAGCCTACCAAAAGTCCACTGCTGAACATAGGCCTCCCCATAGA